TTAAGTCTAAAATTCACAAAACAAAGAAGCATATAACTATGTTTATAAATCTTTGAAGAGCAAGTGCTGTGCTTAGTCGCTCAGTTGTGTCCCACTCTTTGCAACCCGTGGATTCTACCCCTCTAAGGTTCCTCTGTCCATGGGGATTCTCCAGGCAAGAATACTGGACTGGGTTGCCATGCCTATTGAAGAGCAAGTAAAACACCCTAAATTGAGACCTTAAATTAGACTATTAGTGAAAGGGAAATCAGAACTATGATTTGTTACTAAATAAAGATGCTCAATCTTTTTCTACAACATTTAGTCTGTTATTATTGTTCTGTCTGCAAACAGTGAAAACAAAAAAATACACTCAGGTTATTCCTAGGAGACTCTCTATTGGACAAACCAACTGTTCCTAATTAATTTTAACTATGACAGCTCCTCCCAAATGCTGAACATTCCAAGCCATTTTTGAAAACTGTTTGATATTGTTCAGGGAAGCAAAGATTTCCTGAGTATACTGGACAAAAGTATCATTATTGTGCCTTTCCCATAGTAGGAACTCAACTAAGTCATACTGAATAAATACTTCTTTTCTGTTTCTGAGAACATGTAATTTTCACACTCTACCCTGTAATTTACCATCATGATTGTTATACCAAACCACAAAGGGGATACACATATTAATACATATTGCCTACTTTTTAAATGAAATTGAAAATAAATACCAAAAACTGAAATTATGGGAGATTTTTTTTTCCCTCCAATTTTCAAATTTTCTATAATACAGTTATATCACTCTTGCAATCTTAAAAAAGCATTAAAAGAAAAAGTATCCTTATAGCATTTATTGTTTTTAACCATATATTAAGATGGTTTTAAATCCCATTCTAAAGGGTCTTTTTAGTTAAAAAAAAAAATCCTTGCTAAATAAAAACAAGAAAACCAGCATAAAGCTGAACTGACAGAGTATTATTTAAAATACTCCCATTATGCCATCTTTCAACAAAGAAAAACCTTTCTCATCATCAAAAGCACTACTTGTGCATCCACAGTTGTATTATCAAGATACCATGAAAGGTAACTACAGATTCAGAGGCAAAGGACATTGCTTCCATACTTTTGAAGTTCAGTACCTAACTAGGAAAACAAGGCAAATACTGAAAAAGAAAATAAAAAAATACAAGGGAGCAAAGGATATGCCAAGCATCTAGTATACAGACAAGTATAGTAGACAGCTTTTGAAGTCCTACAGACTTCAGTTCAAATCTTAGATCTTACTTATGAATTTATGTAAATTATTTCCTTCATGTGTAAAATGGAGTGTTAAGTGAAATAAAATCCTTAGCATATAGTAACACTTAAAGGGAAGTTAACAGTATTATTATTAGTAGAGATGCAGACTTAAAGAAGAAACGAGCAACCAGCAAAGTTTAAAAAGAGGAAGTATTAATAACTTTATGTCATCTACTACCATAAGCAAAAATCACAAGATCTTTCTCATTCAAGTTTTACTTCTTATTGCCAAAAAGAAAATAGAACACCTGGTAAAGAAAATTGAAATCAGAAAACACGGTGCCTATAAAGCCTATAAAGTACCCTAGGAAAGTCACCACTAGATCTCCAAATCACAGAATATGATCTATAAAAAAAAAAATGTTCTTTGGAAAGGTCTTTAGATCATCTAATTCAAACTCTCCAACTCTCCAGAATTAAGCTCCATGCCTTCTTCTGTCTCTGAGTGCCAAGAACTGTCATCTTGTTTGTAAGTAAATCCTCAGCACCTAGAATAAATCCTAGTACATAATAAATGATCAGTACATATTTGTTGGATAAATATTAAAAGCAAGAAAACTGAGGCCTGGAGATTTAACTCAATGACACAGTTACCTCCTGGCAGAGCTGGGACTGAAACATTTTACTATTCTAGCATTCTATCCGGTCTAGAAGCTCAGTTCAGTTCAGTTCAGTCGCTCAGTCTTGTCTTTGCTACCCCATGAACCGCAGCACGCCAGGCCTCCCTGTCCATCACCAACTCCCGGAGTTCACCCAAACCCATGTCCATTGAGTCGGTGATGCCATCCAACCATCTCATCCTGTCATCCCCTTCTCCTTCTGCCCTCAATCTTTCCCAGCATCAGGGTCTTTTCAAATGAGTCAGCTCTTCGCATCAGTGGCTAGACTATGATAATTTAGATAACTTATCTTGGTGGTTGGGGAATTGGAGGGTTTGCTGGCAGGCAGGAGAAAGAGGAAGGAGAAAATTAACCTAGTTTTCAGGTGTTTTTCCCAACTGTCAGTTTTGCTTAATTGATAGAGGCCAAAAATTCTACTCAAGACAATTCCAGCATAGAACAGGGCACATAATAGGTACTTAACAAATACTGGCTGAATGAATCAACCTACTGCAAAACTATTATTATTTAATAACCAGAAGCAGAAACTAACTTCAGCATCTGTTTAATCTTTGTAACTGTCACAGAGTTCTTCGGAATTTTCAGTCATTCATAAGACAAATATTATTAATAACTTTCTTCCAGACATGTGCTGAGGGAGAGAGATGAAAGATGTCCCTGCCGTGCAGGATCTCACTTGAGTATGCCTATGTCTGAGTGTGTCTTGAGGGGGTTATGGTGACATAAACAGATCAATAATAAATATGAAACCAGGCTGCATTGTTATCTCAGTTTATTTGCCTCAAGCAGTTAAAAAGTCAATTAAAAAACACAAATCAGCCAAATTTTAAAATAACAAGAGGCACATGAGGTATTTAAACACTTGGGAATGTTCTCTTTCCTGTGCCTTTACAATATATCTTATTGCCTCCTAATAATGTCTTAAAGGGTTTCCCCGGGGGCTCAGCAATAAAGAACCTGCCTGTCACTGCAGGAGATGCAGGTTTGATCCCTGAGTGGGAAGGATCCTCTGGAGAAGGAAATGGCAGCCCGCTCCAGTATTCTTGCCTGGGAAATCCCATGGACAGAGTAGTCTGGCCAGATAACAGTCCACGGGGTTGCAATAGAGTCGGACACAACTTAGCGACTAAACAAAAACGTCTTAAAATCAAAATGCTCTAACTTGACTTATCTGGATATTCAATATAAATGAACCACCAATGTTTGTTCTCTCATATGTGAAACACTGAATGGTAATACTCTTGATTCAGTATTTACTCTGTGTACATGTTAATATTTAAATATATAGCTACTAGAACACATTTAAATTATTTAACTATCTATAAAACTGACAGAGCCGGAAGAAAACATTCAGAGAGGAATGACAGTAAATAGAAACTAAAAGCATAGCCTTATCCAGGAAGAAAATAAAGTATGCACACAACTAAGAAGCAAATCTGTAGAAGTTCTCAGGAGAACAAAATCTTCGAGGGGAGAACTCTCGCTGGAGTTGGCTAGCAGAGCGGAAGAGCAACAGTTTGCCAACAGGATCTTGTTTAATGCATATCACTAACTAGACTATTAAAGAGTGAACACGCATAAGTCAATGTTGCCATTCCTCAAGTTTGAGTTTCAGGAGGACCCTTCCAAAGAGATTCACTACCAAGACTCAATCACCACATTCCAAGTCTTCTTCCCCATTTATCTGCTTGTCAAAACAGGATAAGCAAGACTAAATAAACTGGAAAATAACAGACTTCGCACTTATGAAGCTGAAAATTCCTACAAGCTGAAGTTACTTTACCTAAGGCACATGTTTCTATGTGATTCCTGGTTACTGAGGGGAACATTTTTCACTCAGTTTATCCTAGGATGCTAAGGTGAAACACCCCCAAAGTCTCTTCCTCCTCAAACAGAAAACTTTCCAGCCGAAATGTATAACCTATCCCAATGTTTTGCCTCAGAAACGCTGAGAAATCCAGGCCAAGGAGAATACAAGGTGGCAGGGAGGCTGGTGTGGGCCCCGAGGGGAAGGTCCGCGGCCACCGGTTCTGGAGAGAACAGGCTGAGAAGGTGAGATTAGGGTGAGATTTGGTCAGAGAAGCGCCAAGGGACTGACAGGTGTACAACCTCTCTCCATCCAGGACATCCCCGGAAGATTGCAATTGGTTTTCCCAACGGAGAGGGAGGAACGAGCTTTCCAGGGTGATTGATGCTGAGCGGTTTTCTGGGAAGCACGAGGACTGACTCTGAAGGAAGCAGAAAGGCAAGACAGACAGAGCACACAGGTTTTGGTGAAGGTTCCCCCAGGACGAGTGGTCTCTTAGGTCCTTCCCAGCACCAAGATGGGCGGAACCATCACACCTGTGAAAGGATGTTTCCCGGCTATCCCCATGGACAGCGATAGACAGCCCACCCAGGAGGAGTGGTAGCAGAACTGAGGAGGGAAAGACTGAATCGGAGGATCTCACCCAGCAGGAAACCTGATCAGCAGAAGAGGCTGAAGCCAGAAAGGGGCTAGCGGGGTAAGAATGCGCTCGGGTAGGATGAGACTTATTTGGAAGACAGGCTGACTGCAGGAAACTGCTGGGAAAGGGAGGGCTTTCGTCGGACTCCAGTGAGAAAAGGCCGGTTTAGCGAGGAAAAAGCCTGGCTGGGAGGGGGCCCTGAGCGCCTGGCTCGGGAAGGTGACGCTGCCTGTCCCGAGGGTGAGCCTCGTGCGGGGCGAGGGCTGACCCAGCGGCGGGGCTGAACCGCGCGAGCTCAACAGGAGCTCACCTGGGGTGCGTCTGGCCTGGAAGGAGAAAACTTCCTGGGTGGGTGAAGGCGGACAGGAGAGGGTCGGGCTCCCATCCGGCGGGACTGGGGCACCAAGGGGTCGAGAGGAGGGGGCGCCGCGTGGGGCGGGGCCGGGGCGCGAGCGGCGGAGGTACCGGCTCAGGATGGCGTCCTCCCGCAGTCACACTCACAGACACATTCACAGGCGCGCCCGCGCGCGCTCTCAGTATCGGCCGCCCCGCCCGGGGCGGAGAGAAACTGCCCGGGTCGGTGAACCGTAGGGCGGTGGGGGAGGGGGCCGGGGACACCGGCCGCCGAGCCCGACGGACCGGCGGGCGGCGTTACCTGTGTCAGGGAGAGCTGGGCCGCCGCAGCCATGGTGTTTCCATCATGCACGGGAGGGGAAGGAAGGACGGGCGGACGGGGGCTCGGGGCGGGGAGGAGGCGGAGGGAGCGGCCGGAGGCGAGGCCCGAGCGGGCTGGCGGGCGTCTCCCCTAACTTCGACAACTTCCCTCCTCTCGTCCACCCCGCCTCGCCTGGCCCCGCCCGCCCGGCACAGGCCTCGGAGACGCCCAAATCCTGGCGCCGGAGTTTTTGCTGCCGGATCGGAGCCTGCCCCAGGGCCGCCTGAGAAAACCTGGCGCGGACAAATAATTAAGGTGGACGGGCTGTGGAGACAGAGGCAACTCCAGATTGTCCTGAGAACTTTAGCGGATCACCTACCCACGCTAAGCCTCTGCTTCTGAAAAATGGGAAGAACTATACCCAGAGTCCAAGTTGCTTGCGAGGATTAAGTGAGATAAAGATAGGAAATAATAACGGTAATTTTTATATGCCAGAATCCGTGTTGGACACTTTTATTTTTAAATTGTGTAAATGAAGGAACTGAGACATAAATAAATTGTACAAATGAAACTGAAACACAAATAAATGTCATATGTAAGGGCCTACAACTGATCAGATAGCTGGTGGGTTAGAATGCAAGTCTGACTCCAAAACTTTTCATTTAGCCCTCTGCTATTAGGGTGAAACTCCAATACTTTGGCCACCTAATGCAAAGAGCTGACTCATTTGAAAACACCCTGATGCTGGGAAAGATTGAGGGCAGGAGGAGAAGGAGAGGACAGAGGATGAGATGGTTGGATGGCATTACTGACTCAATGGACATGGGTTTGGGTAGACTCCAGCAGTTGGTGATAGACAGGGAGGCCTGGCATGCTGCAGTTCATGGGGTCGCAAAGAGTCAGACACAACTGAGCGACTATACTGAACTGAACTGATTAGGGTGAGCACCTGAAGAACTGATGCTTTCAAACTGTGGTGCTGGAGAAGACTCTTGAGAGTCCCTTGGACTCCAGGGAGATCAAACCAGTCCATCCTAAAGGAAATCAACCCTGAATATTCTTTGGAAGGACTGATGCTGAAGCTAAAGCTCCAATACTTTGGCCACCTGATGCAAAGAGCCAATTCATGAGAAAATACCCTGATGCTGGAAAAGATTGAAGGCAGGAGGAGAGGGGAAGGACAAAGAAGATTTGGTTGAATGGCATCACTGACTCAATGGACATGAGTTTGAGCAAACTCCAAGAGATGGTAATGGACAGGGAAGCCTGGCATGCTGCAGTCCATGAGGTCACAAAGAGTCAGACGTGACTGAGCTATTGAACAACAACATTAGGGGGTGATATCAAAAGAGAAGACTATCTTAAGTCAAATTCTAGGTAGGAAGGGAAATAAATACTCTCCAGGCTCACTGGCTGCCTGCCACACTTAGACCCCAGTTCAGTAAAAGAGCACTGGGGCCTCCTCAGGGGCTGCAGCACTCCTAACTCCCTCCATAGTCCCCCTGGCAAACGCCTCCTGCTCTCTCTCAAGACACCGCCAAAATACCACCGCCTTTACAAAGTATCTCCTGACTTCCCCAAATCAGATTTACACACTTATCTTAACATGTCTTCTCTGCCTTATGAAGTCATCATCACCCTAATAATGGCTCTTTACATCTGTCTGCCCTCCAGATGAGATGGCTGATGGCCTCACCAACTCGATAGACATGCGTTTGAGCCAGCTCCGGGAGTTGGTGATGGACAGGGAAACCTGGCGGGCTGCAGTCCCTGGGGTCGCAAAGAGTCGGACCCGACTGAGCGGCTGAATGGAACCAACCCTCGAGACTGAGAGCTCCTCAATGGCAAGGACTCTTTCTGATGTATGTCTACATCCCCAGGTCCGGGAATGTGTTTTGTACTGGTGTCAGGTCTTAGTTCCCGCCAAAGTAACCATAACACAGCCTATACTTTCTCATGCTGCCTTCTTCCGTTGGAATAACCAGTAACTTGAAATCCTCATCTTTAAAGGCTTGGCTTACATGCCACCTACTTCAGGAAGCCTTCTAGGAAATCCCACCCCACCCTTTAGTTGCTCTGATATTATCCCTACCCTCTGCCTTGGAGTTAGTTGAGGACTTTTTCTATACTCCAAACAGATTGCAAAGTCCATGAGAACAGAGGGCTGTCTCACAACTACCTCCCTCGCACAGTTTAGCCTAGCACAGACTAGACCTCAGTAAATGTTTTTGCCTAGAACTGGTCTTCCTTTCTTAGTCATGGTGGCTTCCCACAACAACGAACCATAACTCTATCAGACCCACACACTCTTAGCATTATCACAGTAGTCCCCGTTTGACACACAAGGGGAATCAAATGAACAAGCCAAGAATGGGATTAACCTCACATAAGGTTTTAGACCTTTGCCACCGCAGGCCGACCATCCCCAAAATGCCCTCAGAAATTCCTGACTCTTCTCACACCCTTTTTACAAAGTCCAGGCAATGAAAAACCAGCCATGCAAGTCTGGTGAGCAACCACTTATTCAAGAGAGTCTCCTTTGACCTCCTTCCGCTGTTATTCTTTTTAACTTGAGGGAGAAGGGGAGATAATGTTTTAAATTACTCCTTTTCCACCTGGTACATTTATCAGTTGTAACCACCACTGATGTTTCTACTTTGATTTTCTAATTTACATTATCACTTTTGAACTCAACAACTCTGAAAGGTAGTAATCATATCCACTCTACAGATGAGGTAACTGAAGGTCACAGATATCAAGTGATTTTTCTCAAGGTTACACATCCAGTAACTAAAGCAGTATACCGTAGTGGAATAAACAGGGCTTGGACATGAGAAACATCCACATTCCAATCCTGTCTGAACTATTTACTACTTGTACAACCTTAGAGTTATTGTGAGGATGAATGAGATAACATATGGAAATATCTAAAGTTGTAGATACACAGATTTAGTTAAGAAATCTTAAAGTCATAGATTAAATTGCTATTGGGAATACAATTGTTGTTGTTCAGTAGCTAAGTCATGTCCAACTCTTTGAGATCCCATGGACTGCAGCACACCAGGCTCCTCTATCCTCCACTATCTCCTGGAGTTTCCTCAAATTCATGTCCATTGAGTTGGTGATGCTTTCTAACCATCTCATCCTCTGCTGCCCCCTTCTCCTTTTGCCTTCAATCTTTCCCAGCATCAGGGTCTTTTCTAATGAGCCAGCTCACTGAAGCTGAAACTACAGTACATGTGACCAAAGTATTGGAGCTTCAGCTTCAGCATCAGTCCTTCCAATGAATATTCAGGGTTGATTTCCTGTAGGATTGACTGGTTTGATCTCCTTGCTGTCCAAGGGACTCTTAAGAGTCTTCTCCAGCGCCACAATTCAAAAGCACCATTCTTCAGTGCTCATCCTTGTTTATGGTCCAGCTCTCAGATCCACACATGACTACCAGAAAAACCATGGCTTTGACTACATGGACTTTTGTCAGCAAAATGATGTCTTTGCTTTTTAATACACTATCTAGGTTTGTCATAGTTTTTCTTCCAAGAAGTCAGTGTCTTTTAATTTCACAGAGTAAAAATGCACTTGCTATTCAAGAAGACTCCACCAAACCATATGAGATACAAGATATTACTCTTGGGGGACAGGGACTCTTGGGAGTCCCTGGTGTATAGTTTCCTAGATCTCAACATGGGATAGTAAGGAGAGTATTTGAGTCAATATGTGACCTCAGACTAATCATTCAACCTGTTTGAGACTCCGTTTCCCACATATTAAAAAAAAAAAAAAATGAGCAAATAGATTTGGAAAATGTTGAGGAAATATAAGGAATTATTTATTGTTATAATTATTGTGTGATTTATATTAAGTCAAAAACAGCATATTGTCTTTGCACAATATTGCTTTTCACAGTTTATGAATGTTTTTATATATAGCATCTAACAACTAGAGTCGAATTGGTATGTGGTAAAAGTTTGTTGAACTGAATGAATGCATAGTCTCATGTGTAGTTAATATTTGAATCCTCATTTTATCTCCATTTCACAAATTAGAAAAACCAAGAAACAAATATTTTATAAATAACTTGTTTAAGTAAGGACTAGTTAGAGCAGATCTGGACCTTGGTTAAAATAGTAATAGTGAAGATCAGACCCCTAAGCAAGGGAAGACTGCTTGTATGAGAATTGCCCCAATGCTCCCTTCCAGACCACCAATAATTTGCACTGGCTTCCTTTTTTGCCCATTGGTTCTGGCTTAAATCAAAAACTTGACAAAGTAGGGGGTGGGAGTGATGGTCCAAACTCCCGAAAAGGCCTAGAACTTCTGGGACTGGATTTTTTTTAGATGACACACCAGTGACAGTTTGCAAATTCGTGTCCCAGATCTCATCAAAGCACTGGGTCATATCACAAATCTATTTTAGGAGAGTAAAATGTAGCTAATGGAAGATATGATCTAATTTGTTGTAAAGAGAATGAATTTCATGGCGCAGACAAAAAGGACTTACCTATTTTTTTTTTTAAGGCAACTTAATGTCTCTGGGTCTGTAACCTTCATATTCCTTATGTGTACATTGGAGATAATAACCTACCGCGTAGAGATGTTGTAAGGACTAGAAATTATGCATGAATGCCTTATTAAAGAACCTGGCCTGAAGTGGCAGCTCTTAAGAATGACATTCTTCAAGATCACCTTTTAACCCTCTGTCAAACAACCCTCCCAGAGAAGGCAATGGCACCCTACTCTAGTACTCTTGCCTGGAAAATCCCATGGACAGAGGAGCCAGGTAGGCTGCGGTCCATGGGGTCGCTAAGAGTCGGACATGACTGAGCAACTTCACTTTCACCTTTCACTTTCATGCATTGGAGAAGGAAATGGCAACCCACCCCAGTGTTCTTGCCTGGAAAACCCCAGGGATGGGGGAGCCTGGTGGGCTTCCGTCTATGGGGTCACACGGAGTCGGACATGACTGAAGTGACTTAGCAGCAGCAGCAGCAAACAACCCTCCAATTACTAAACCAGTTTTGCAGATATATTAA